GACTACATTCTGGTCTGTGGGTTGGTGTATCGACTTCAAAAAAAAAAAAAAAAAAAAGCTTTAAAAGAGGAAGGATTGTGTGTCCTTCATGTCTTCCTTCTTTCTACTGATGGGAAGGTGATTGTGATGGCTGGAACCCAAGCAGCCTTATTGGACCATCGGATGGCAGGCTTGCAGGGCATGGCAGGCTTGCAGGGAGTAGAAATCTGAGGCCCTGATCACTTCAGAGATTCCCTAGCAGCCCTTTTACAGTAGACTTTTGGTAAAAAGAAACAAAAACCTTTATATTATTTAATACACTGTAATTTGGGGCACCTATTGCAATAAAATCTAGTCTTAGGTAATAACTTACCCTCCTTGACTTAGATCACACTCTCAGCATTTTGATATTCTATTTGTTTCTTTACCAATCTGTAAGGTCTCTTAAAAAAAAAACAAAAAAAAACGATCTCTAGATGATTCTCTCAAGATTTCAGTTGTTTCTTTACACATAGTAAATACACTTGTGGCTTTGTAGTTTGTGTGAGACGGCCTTTGCTACCAGTATTTTTACTAATTCTTATTCATGGAACCTTATTTCCTTTTGTGCGACATTTTCTTCCATTTCATGCTGCTCATTGCCCTTGAATATAATTCAAGGGGACTCTTTGAAGTCTAGGAATAAATTGCTTTCCTCCAGAAAGGCTGCGCTTGACTACCAGGCCCATAGGCTTGTCCATCTTGGAACCTCCTAAAACCAAACTCCAGATTTGACGAAAGAACTCATGTCATCTGCTCACTTACCTTCCTCCTTTTCTAGGCTTAAACTTCTTTTAATCTGAGACCACTTGTTATCCTGTCTCGTGGACAGCACAGTCCTCAGCACATAAAAATTTACTAGTAAATTTTGGCTAAATGAATGAATGAATCTTTAAATTATCATGACACCTAGTTAACTTATTTCTCTGTCTTCATTTTCAGTTGGTCAGTTGAATACCATTTCCAATGGGGTGTCTTTTCTGACTAAGACTTCTCTCCTTTAAAACTCCCCCAAGTTGTGTGCCACACAGGGAGTGGCTACTTGGTGAATAATTGCTTCTCAGCTAAGATTGTCTTTTTCCATGCCTCTGCCCATGAATGGATCAAGCCACACATTTCTGGAATTCCTCACACCTTATATATTGCTCAGGTTATCTCTGGCAGTAATCCTCAATGGCTCAGTAACTGGTAGATCTATCTCTAATTTGTTCTCCCCTGTAGTACACTTAATCTCACACTTCAAGAGTTCTCTCTAAAGATGACTTCTCATTCTGTCATTTTCTTGCTTGTAGACCATCATAGCTATTACAACTACCTATAGAATAAAGTCCAAACCAATTAGTTCTCATTTTGCACCCTTCATCTAAGTGGGCTAGCCAGATTCCATGAAAGAATAGAATATCTGAGAAATCAAACCCCCAGTTTTACCATTTACTGGCCACATACACTCCACAAAAGCTAACTTCTGAGCATTGGTGTGCTGATGTGTAAAATAATAATAGTTTTGCAAAGGATAATCTATGTGAAGCTCCTAGTGTCTATCACAATTAAAATAACTCTATAAGACATTTCTTTCTCGCAGGATCTGAAAGGGAGAACAATGTAATCCCTTGTTGCTTATGGATACTTAATAAATGAAGGGTGCCTTATCCATTTTCTCTCTGGACCTAGTTTTCTTATATATACAGTGGGGCTTTAAATGGTTATTTTGAAGCTTAAATGTGGAAAATGGAGGAAAGCACTGGGTTCCATACTTGGCACATCACTAGGTTTCTGACAAATGTTCCTTCTTTAGCCCCCTTCCAAATTGAGGTCCAATTTTCCTTTCCTATGGAATTGCAATAAAAAATGATAAACCAAAGTGCATTATATAAAAGAAGGATTGTGATTCTTTGTGTTTTTTTAAATTTTATTTAAATTTATTTTTATTTTGGATTTTGATTCTTATCTCTACTTTTTAAAGTCCTAGCTTCCCTCTAAGGCCAACTTGAAATACCACCCACTCCATGAAGCATTCTGGAATCTCACTTTTTCCCCCTACTTCAGCCAGGAGGAAGATGCAAACAAAGGGGACTTTCCAAATGATTTCAGCTGGTTCTTGAATTCCCTATATATCAACAAGTATAGCTCTACAATATACAAAGCTAAACAGTGTTTTAGCTTCTACTAAGCTATTTTTAGCCATGAAAAAATTCAGTGTCTTCAAAACAGGTCTATTTATTTCAATTTTAGACAACTTAAATCTGTCCCCCTAAATTTTCAACATGCTCTTAGGTATGTCTGTGTTTCTCTCTAAACATATTGCAAAGAAACAGATAATATTCCTTAAAATACTGTGGCCAGGAATCACCTTTCTCCTTCTGTGTCTGCATCCTGTGCTAACAAGTTCCCAGCAACCCTGAAATTGTATTTTCAAACACATGTTGGTGCTAAGTGTCATCTCCTCTGTGTTAATACAGCCATTTTTAACATCTAGGATTGGTTCTCCCAAAATAGATCCATATTGCATGCCTGTTGGCACGTTTGGTCTGCTTACGTATTAAACCTTCATGAACCTAATCTGTTAATAGTGCTCCTAGATCCATTTTTCTCATGAATTCTTCCAAGGTACTTTATTCCTGTATAAAGCATGTGCCATAGTTTATATACTTGGCTTATGTCATGATGTCACAGGTGGGGCTCCCTAGAAGTAGTGCCTCAGTCCGAGGGGTTGGGCAGCAGCCCTTGTGTCTCCAAAGCAGGGAGGCTTCTGTTGGGCCAGGAGCAGTCCTCCAGAGCAGGGGGCAGCTAAGAGTTGATCTCAGCCAACACACAGCCCCACTGGTAAAGGAGCAGATGGGACATCAACAACTACAGTAACCCATGACTTTGTAATTCTTGAGTATGGAATCTGTGTGTTTTGTGTTTTTGCCATTTTTATAAACCTGGCTCTATGTCTTTATTTACTTTTTTTTTTTTTACTATGTTTTTATTGATTTCAGAGAAAGGAAGGGAGAGAGAGAGAGAGAGAGAGAGAGAGAGAGAGAGAGAGAGAGAGATATCAATGATGAGAGAGAATCATTGATTGGCTGCCTCCTTTATGTCCTATACTGGGGATGGAGCCCACAACCCAGGTATGTGCCTGACCCAGAATCAAACTATGACCTCTTGGTTCCTAGGTGGATGCTCAACCACTAAGCCACACTGGCCAGGCCTGGCTCTATGTCTTGCACAGTGAAGGTACTACCCTGTTTCCCCGAAAATAAGAGTGTCTTATATTAAATTTTTCTCCCAAAGTTGACCTAGGTCATATTTTCAGGGGATGTCTTATCTTTCCATGCGCTAGGTTTTATTTTTGGAGGATGTTTTATTTTTGGGGAAACACAGTAGTTTCTAGAATTGAATCATCTAAGGTCTAGAGAAAATGACCCCTAGCTTGCATCCATTCCAATCCACTGCCATTCTATATAATAAAAGCCTAGTATGCAAATTTCCCCCTAGACCAGGAGTTTGACCAGGGGCAGGGCTGGCGACTGCAGCAATGGCAGGTGGCCAGGGGAAGAGAGGCCTTTCCCCTAGGCAGCAGTGGCAATGGCAGCAGTAGGCAGCTGGGGGAAGGAAGGCACCCCTAGCCAGCAGCCACTAGGGACCTTACCCATGCATGAATTTCGTGTACTGGGTCTCTATTTTGTAATAATAGCCAAGTTCTCCCCACGCAGCAGAGAACCAGATCATGAGCCACAGAAGGAAGTTGATGCCGCATATTCTAAGAATCTAATTGCCCTGTTAACTTAGATGGTGCTTAAATTCAGAATAGGCAACTAACTTCTTAAGACCAAAAAAAAAATCAAAAGCAGAACTTCAGTCTGTTTAACTCTTAAACTCCTTTTGTTCCTTTAAGTTTTGTAAAGTAATAGATGCATATGACTAAACATGAAAATGTACAAAGGGTAATAAAGGAATAATAAAGGCCTGTTTCTCTAGCATCTTGACTTTTTTCCCCTCCCCAGAGCTAACTACTGTTAATATTTTCTTGTGTTCCTATCCGGAAATAGTTGTAGACATACAAGCATATATATTTTTTACTTTATACATAAAAAGATTACAGTATACGTTCTGCTCTCTTCTCGTTTAAAAACTAATAATAGACCTTACTGATCTTTTTATTGTTATTATTATTATTCTTCACCCGAAGATATTTTTCCATTGATTTTTAGAGAGAGTGGAAGAGGGAAAGAGAAACACCAATGTGAGAGACATACATTAATTGGTTGCCTCTCACATGCACCCTGACTAGGGTTCGGGATCAAGCCTACAACCGAGGTTATGTGCCCTTGACAGGAATCAAACCCAGAACCCTTCAGTTCAAGGGCCAATGGTCTAGCCACTGAGCCAAACTGGCAAAGGCATTACAGGTCTGTCTACATCAACATCTCTATATCTCATTTTAAAAATATGGATGTCTTCCAATTTATTTAATCTGTCCTTTTTTAACACTTAGGTTGTCCCTGTTTTCAGCTCTTCCAACTATTATAGTATTTTTGCTATAGAAAATAAGTGTTCTATGCAATTTTTTTACACATATGTTCTTAGCACTATTAACTAGAAAAAGCCTGCTGTTGTTTCTCAACAGCAAAATGATTAAATGGATGGTGAATGTGGCTACCCAGAGTCCCTATGTCTAAGTTATGCTTTCTCTGCCCATTTGTTTTCCAGCCTATTTCCCAGAATACGTTATAGTTAGAAAAGATAGAAGTTGTCCTAGTTGGAAAAAGCTGCAAATAATTCTCACATTCAGGTCATCATACTAGCGGGCTCTGAAAACCAGGATGGAATATAATTTCAATAACAGGGTAGCTATTATGCGAGGAACAGTTCTGAATCTTGTTTAGAATTTAAGAGAGCCAGTATGAAGAGCTTGTCTAAATGCAATCAAATTTTCCACACATTCCACCCTGAGGTACTAAAAGAGCTTCTTGTCTTTTTTCTTTTTGTGCTTGCAGTGAAGTACATGCGAGAAGCCACACCCTACGTGAAGAAAGGCTCCCCTGTGTCGGAGATTGGGTGGGAAACGCCTCCGCCCGAATCCCCGCGGTTAGGGAGTGGCTCCTCGGACCCTCTGGCATCATCGTCCTCGCAGCCCTTCTCCTTCCACAGAGACCGGAAGAACATCCCCCTCAGGATGTGCTACGTCACTCGGAGTCTGGCCTTGGCCGACCCAGAGAACAGGTAAAGAGGACCAAAGCTCTCTAAATCTGCAGCTTTTCGGCTGCTGAGATTTCATGCGGTCCCTTGCCAGGGTTGTGCTCAGTTCTGAAAACGCTCCATGGTTTCCGAAGAACAGCTTGGAAGGGCAGTGCTGAGACAGTGTGTGTGTGTGTGTGTGTGTGTGTGTGTGTGTGTGTGTGTGTGTGTGTGTGTGTGTGTGTGTGTGTTCAAGTCGGGCCTCCCTCCCTCCGTTGGCCCACCCTTCCTCCTCCTTTCTTTCATCCGCATGGAGAATCTGCAGCCTGAGTTCTGGTTGTGGAAAGAGATGAAGAATTAGAGGTGTATTCCTAAGTGTTCTTCTCTGGGTCTGCCACAGTCAGCGTATGGGACTTTGGGGAAGTTTCTCAAACCACTAAACCTCCACTTTGTTATATATAAAATGGGAATAATTGAGATATGCACCTCACTGGGCTGTGAGGATTGGCGGGGGTGGGAGGTGGGGGGTATATGGGAAGTGCTTAGCACAGGAAAGCCTTTAATGAATATAAGATATAATAATATTTATTACTAAGGCGCGGTAGTAATAAGCAAATCAGCCTCTCTGGGCCTCAGTGCCCTCCGCTGTGTATTTGGAGAGTCACATGGAGGGGATATGTGAAATTATTTTTTACTCTAAACCTTGTTTTGTGCCCGAGAGAGGAAAGAGTGGTTCTGGTCCAAGTGTGGGGTGCTTCCTGCAAAGTCTGTGTGTGACTTGTCAGGCCACAGGATAGCCCTGTCACCCAGTCCATGGCAATTGTAAGGCGCCCAGGCCAAGATCAGCAAATACTTGGGGTCTCTCTCCCATCTAAAGCCTTTCTTTAACTCATCTGAACAGAAAGCATGCATCTTGGAGGAAAAGAAGAGAAAAAAGAAGGAAATGCAGAGAAAAGAGAGGATGTGAGCCAGCCAGTGGGGGATCTTGGTGACCTTTGCATCCACACTCAAATGCTAAAAATAGGAACGGCCACTGGCCCTTATTGCTAACATGTGTGGAACAGCTGCAACCCACCCGCGTCGGGAATATTTGGCGAGGTGCTGCAGTTGATGGGGAAAAGCCGAAGGGAATGGGGGCGGGGCACATGTTGCCTCCTTGGCTTACTGCTCAATGCTGTTCTTGTTCTCTTCCTAATAAGCTCTCTCTAAGGAAGCTGCAAGCAAGCCTTTTGGACTCCAGCCAGCTGCAGGGCTGCCCTGCTGCCCCACCCCTTCAATGCCAGTTACATTTACACAGGGTGGGAGATCAGCAGTTATAGGAGAGAGCGATCAGGTAGCAGCAAAAGATGAGACAGCATTCTTAGATAAGCCACCTCCATCTGTCCTCTGGTGTGTATCCCCTTTAATTTTTGCCACTTTCCTGGGCCTACAGTTCATGTCCTGGTTCCTCTGAGTTTCCTCTTCCCTATCAGACATGTCCTTTCTCCTAAGAGCCTGGTGTGTAAGGTTTCAGATCTGATGAATTTATAATTTATTGAGTGCCTGTCTTGTGCTGGGCATTATGCTAATGACTTCAGATCAGAGACTCAAAGTGGCAGCCCACAAGTGTGCCCAGCCCACAGGTATGTTTTTCAATGATCTATTTAGTCTTTGAACCCCACTTTTTCTTTTTAACAGCCCTCTGAGTTTCTATCCTTTTCCCCATTGTGTAGATTAAAAAACTGAAATTCAGTGCTTTTAGAAGTTCCAAATATCATATAGCTAATAGATGGGTTAGCTGGGCTTCAAACTCATGTCTTGAGTGGGGTGATAGTATCAGTTTACTGTTGCCAGAAAAACGCAGAGGCTAGAAAACTAGTGGGGTATCACGGAAGTGATTAGTGCGGTGGAGAGAGAGATTAAAGAAATGATTCCTCAGGTTCCTTCCACCTGTGGACTTATATCTTATAACATTTTCTTCAAAGCATTTAACTATATTTTAAAGAATATTTTTGGAGCCATCATTTCTTAGTTCAAATATTGGAAACTTTATTCTGTCAAGCCAGTCGAGGGAATGCATTTTTAAACTTTTCTCTCACTGTTCCTTAAGACCCCCAGTAATGAGTATATGTGGGGCCTCCCAGGTGGCAAGGCAGAGCCAGGCAGGACTGAAATGGCAACCCTGCTAAGCCAGAGGGTCCAGGAGGGGACTTTAGACCAGACAGTTCCAAAACTTCTGATAATAAAATTAATCTTTTCCAATGTATATGTATATCAAACCACCATGGTATATACTTTAAATATAATTTTGTCTATTATTCCTAATGAAACTGGAAAAATACACATATCAGGGACTTAGGTGAGTCTTCACCCCATTGAGGAAGAGAAGGAAAAAGAAAAAGAGAAAGAGAGAACAAAAATTTTACGGAACTCCATTTGCACACTGGGCAGAGGATAATGTACTAGTCAGAAATGCGGATTCTGTTGAATCCAAGACACACCTAACCCAAGGTGATTTTATTTATTTATTTATTTATTTATTTATTTATTTATTTATTTATTTTTTAATCAATCTTTATTGTTCATATTATTACAAAGGTTCCTCATTTCTTCCCCCCTCCACCAGGTTCCCACCCCACCCTCCATCCCTCCCCCCATCCCCCATTGTCCTCATCCATAGGTGCAGTTTATGTTCAGTCTCTTCTTCCCTCAATTTCCCCAATAGTAAATCCCTTTTCAGATAGTAAATCAGTTACTTTGCATTTTCTCATATCAATAATACCTCCACATGCCCAATGATACACTTCACACAAAAGACATTTCCCACTAGGTCAACCAGCCTCATCCAGGCCCCACCCAAGGCACTCACAGATCAACACCCCAGTCCTAAACTAACTCAACACATCCAGATCTAAGCCTTCATCACTTGATTCAGCAGACCCTCAAGTTCCCACGAAAGTTTCCAGCCATGTCTGAGAAGCAGCCGTGGGGCAGGGACCGGCAAGGAGCGAGCTGTTCTGGGCCTGGCTGCTCAGGGTCTGGCCTCTGTTGCTCTGGTTCATTCCACAACCAGCTGCTCCGGGTCTGGTCACTGCCGCTCCCGGCCTAGTTGCTCTGGACTTGGCTGCTGCTGCTCCAGGCCTGGCCGCTCCCAGCCTGGCAGCCGCTGCTCCGGGCCTGGCCGCACCCGACCCGCCTGCTCCCCCGGGCCTGGCCGCTCTCAGCCTGGCAGCCGCTGCTCCAGGCCTGGCCGCACCAGCCCCGCCTGCTCCCCCGGGCCTGGCCGCTCCCAGCCTGGCAGCCGCTGCTCCGGGCCTGGCCGCACCAGCCCCGCCTGCTCCCCCGGGCCTGGCCGCTCCCAGCCTGGCAGCCGCTGCTCCGGGCCTGGCCGCACCAGCCCCGCCTGCTCCCCCGGGCCTGGCCGCTCCCAGCCTGGCAGCCGCTGCTCCGGGCCTGGCCGCACCCGACCCGGCTCCAAGGTGATTTTAAAAGGCAAACATATAGGGATGGACAAAGCATCCAAAGCAAATGCAAGCTGACAGCAACAGACAGCATCAGTTTTGATCTTGGTATATGACAGATCAAATGCAGATTGAAAAGGACAAAACAAGACAGAAAAGGACCAATCTATGCTAAAGGCCAGAGTTCACAAGGAGTATTCAACAGTTATGAATATATATCAAATGACTCAGCAGTGACCTTTAGGGCAGGACCTGCAGATGATTCGAGGAGAAATAGAAACTACTAACATGAGGTCATTTCACACAACACTCTCAGGCCAAGGACAGGGCAAGTAGACAAAAGATAAAGAGAGAAGACCCGCCTTGGCTGGGTGGCTTGATTGGTTGGGGCATTGTCCTGTACACCAGAGGGTTGTGGGGTCACTTTCTGGTCAAGGCATGTATTGAGGCACATATGAGAGGCAGCTTATGGGTGTTCCTCTCTCATATCAGTCTCTCTCTCCATTTCTCTCTCTCTCTCTCTGTTTCTCTCTCTCTCTCTCTCTCTCTCTCTCTCTCTCTCTCTCTCTCTCTCCCCCTCTTTCCCTCCCTCTCTCTCTCTCTCTCATTCCTTGGTCCCCTTTCTTTTTCTCTAAGATCATATAGGGCATATCCTCAAGTGAGTATTCAAAGAAATATATATATTTCTAATATAATAACATACTTAATACTGGAGATCTTAGTATATCACAAACTTTGTATCCTGATAATGAAGAATACACGTGCTTTTCAGATTCACATGGAATGTTCACAAAACTAACCATAGATTAGGCCACAAAGCATGCAGTAAATTTCATAAAGTAGAAATAACATGAACAATCTCCTTTGATGATAGTGGAATAAAACTAGAAAGCACGTAACCAAACCAAAGCACAGAAGGCTTTTCTTCATAGTTTCATAAAAGCTCTCCATGTCATAACTCTCATGTCAAAGGGAAAATAGCAACTTCCAGTAATAAAATGAACCTTAGAAATTGTGGCATTTGCCGAAACTGGTTTGGCTCAGTGGATAGAGCGTCGGCCTGCGGTCTGAAGGGTCCCAGGTTCGATTCCAGTCAAGAGCATGTACCTTGGTTGTGGGCACATCCCGTGTAGGGGGTGTGCAGGAGGCAGCTGATTAATGATTCTCTCTCATCAATGTTTCTGACTTTCTATCCCTCTCTCTTCCTCTCTGTGAAAAAATCAATAAAATATATTTTAAAAAATTGTGGCATTTCTAAAAACAGTAATAATCATGAAAATAATGCATATATTAAATATAAAGAGAAAGAAAGGAAAAGAGAGAGTGTGGACTCTGGAGTTGGCTCTCTCCATGATGGAATCTTAGTTCTACCACTTATGCATGAATTTAAGCAAGTGTCTTGTTTATCAAAATAACCACCCAGGGGATCAGTACTCTAATCTCTTTTTCATAGGCAAAGAAACAGTTCAGAAATGAGAGTTGAAGCAAATCGTAGGCCTGGGATTCAAAACCATGCCCACGTGACACCAAGTCCAGTTTCCTAGCCCCTCCATTACCTCCAACTTGAGCACCTGCTCACCTGAACTATAAGCATCGTGGCCAGGA